CCAGAAGCCAGGCTCACAGCTGGCAAGCGTAGTGGCGGTGGTGGAAGCCTCTCCTGCCTCCGCAGCAGTGCTAAGGATGTTCGACTGCTGGCTTAGCTGTCAGTCGGACATCCCATGAGGGCTCCTGGACTGCGAGAGGGCTAAGGCTGGGCTGAGGGTACCCCCCCCGAATGCACGAATTTCGTGCACCAGGCCTCTAGTATGATTATATTTAAACTAAACGCTAGCTCTTTGTTAAGGTTCCCTTCCCAGTATTTTCTCTTTCCAAGATAATCTCATATCAGGTTTTTTATGGCCCCTTTATGGGCAATGTCCTCTCCCACTGTGTCTTTTATGTACTTAGAACACTGATTTATGTGAAATATTTTGCAGATAGAGGAGAGGGTAGTACCTTTTAGATAAAAGAAGTAGTATGTGCAATGTACAGAGACATGGGATTATGATGCTAACTACTTGATTATATGTTATTTGAAAGTTCAAGTTTAAAATATTTTTTCAATTCAGAATTTGTGTGGATCAAAATATTCAGATAAAATAACTATTTGCTATCTACTTATTGTTATTTTTAAATTTAGAAATTACAAGTCATTATTCTCTAGTTTCAAGATGCCTTACATGGTGAACCCTTATTTTGGTTTGGATAAGTCTCTTTTTTCTCCCCTTTCACCTTATTTTTTCTTTTTGACATGAGGGCTTACTGTTTTTATTTAATAAACTAGAGGCCCAGTGCACAAAAATTTGTGCACTCGGGGGGAGGGGGTCCCTCAGCCCGACCTGTGCCTTCTTGCAGTCTGGGACCCCTTGGGGGTGACCACTTGCTGGCTTAGGCCTGCTCCCCGGGGGATTGGGCCTAAGATGGCAATCAGACATCCCTCTGGCAGCCCAGCAGCCCTCGGGGGATGTCCATTTGCCAGCGGGGAGCAGACCTAAGCTGCAGTCAGACATCCTTAGTGCTGCTGAGGAGGCAGGAGAGGCTCCCACCACCACTGCTGTACTGGCAGCCATCAGTCTGGCTTGTGGCTGAGCAGAGCTCCCCCCTGTGGGAGCGCACTGACCACCAGAGGGCAGCTCCTGCATTGAGCGTCTGCCCCCTGGTGGTCAGTGTGTGTCATAGTGACCAGTCATTCCCAGTCTTTCTGCTGTTAGGGTCAGTTTGCATATTACCCTTTTACTATAGGCTAGAGGCCTGGTGCACGGGTGGGGGCCAGCTGGTTTGCCCTGAATGGTGTCCCGGATCAGGGTGGGGGTCCCGCTTAGGTGCCTGGCCAGCCTGGATGACGGGCTGATGGGTGTTTGCAGCTGGTCACACCCCCTTCAGGGTGGGGGTCCCTACTGGGGTGCCTGGCCAGTCTGGTGAGGGGCTGAGGGCCGTTTTCAGGCTGGCGAGCGACTGAAGCTCCCAGCCTCTCCTTTTTTTCTTTTCTTTTTAATTCTGTGATTTATTTACCTTCTATAGCTGTCACTGGAGCTGAGAGCCGGCTCCAGCTCTGAGGCCGCAGCTGGCTGAAAGCAGGTATCTTGGGTTTGTTTGGCTTCTATAATTGAAACATTGTTGCTGTCCTGCTCGCTCCAGCTCTGAGGCCGCGGCTGGCTGAAAGCAGGTATCTGGGTTTGTTTAGCTTCTGTAATTGAAACTCTGTTGCCATCACTGGCGCTCTCAGCTCTGAGGCCGTGGCTGGCTGAAAGCAGGTATCTGGGGTTTGTTTAGCTTCTATAATTGAAACATTGTTGCTTCCGGAGCTCAGAGCTGGGCCTCGGCAGGCGGGGAACCTTGGCTTCCTCCATCACTGGAGCAAACAAGCCTCCTGTTCGCTTCAGCTGCGTGGCCGGCCTCCATCTTTGTTGGCAGTTAATTTGCATATCCTGCGATTAGCCAATGGGAAGTGTAGCGGAGGTATGGTCAATTACCATGTTTGTCTATTATTAGATAGGATTCTTTGAAAAAGTTTCTTGTTCACTGTACTCTTACCTTCCTTTTTTCTTAGTTCCATCCTGTTAACTTTCATTTTCTTAGTTCCATCCTGTTACATTCCATTAATAATCTCTTATGATCCTTTTATACTTTTCTCCATGATCATATAATCACATAATGGACACACTATGTCACTTTCTCCCATAGTCATTAGGATTTTGAAGCTATTATTTTATAAAATGGAATCATATTATATATTTTTGTGTGTTTATTGCTTTTTTTATGAATATATACATTGTGAAAAATCTATTTAAGCCAACTGCTTTTGCACTAGCTCATTCTTTTATTTAATTTCATAACAGTCCATGGCATGGATTTTACTACCCTAATTTTTTTCTTCTGCTCTTGAATTTACATTTTCTTATTAATCTACTGCACTTTTAGGAATACATAGAAAAGATTGCTGGATTTAAAGGTTTTAACCATTTTTTACTGTTACTGATTTCTCAAATTTATATCAATATTGCTTTCTCAGAAACTCTACCAGTTTACATTTCTAGCAGTTACATAACAGTACCCTTTTTCACCATTAATCAGCAATAGATATTATTTCTCTTACTATTTTTGCTAGTTGAATGGGTATAAAGTGATGTCACATAATTTTAATTTGCATTTTCTTCAATACTAGGTATTAGGTATTACCATCCCTTCACATTTTATTAGTCTTACAAACTTGCTCTACCGTGAATAACTTATTTCCATTTATCACTTTAATTTTTTATTTTGCCTTTTTAATTTTGATTTCAGTATTATAAAATATTTTAAGTAACCCTTTGAATAAAAATATAATACATACCAGTGTACTCACTACCCAACTTTTCAAATCTATGATTTTGCCATTTTACTGCAGATTTTTCTCCAGTACATTATTGTGATAAATTATATTAATGGAGTTTTCTAATTTTGTCATTTTTTGCAATCTTAGGGTGAATGAACTTCGTTAATAAAAAAAACACACATTGTTGGCTTTGGTTTGCTAATATTTAGTTTAGGATTGTTAGTAACTATTTTGGTAAGCGAGATTATCCTTTTATGATGTCTTTGTCTGGTTTTGGTATCATGGTCAAACTAAATCCACAATATGTGCCATTTTTTCTGTTCTCTTTTTTAATTCTCTGTAATTAAGATTCGAATTGTCTTTCATGTTTGGTTGAACTCATATAAATTTCCTCTGGGCCTTATGGAGGTTTTCTTTTCTTCTTTCTGATTCTTCCTTATTTCTCTTTCCTTCTTCCTCCTCCTTTCTTCTCCTCTGTTTTTTTTTTTTTTTTTTAAGTGGGAGATTTTTTTTTAATGATTATAGTTCTTTTGAAGTTTAAATCCATTTTTAAAGTTACATATTTTTAAACTGTTAATTTGTCTACATTTTCAAATTTATTGGCATAATTTATTCTAGCACTCCCTTTTTGTCTTCAAAACTTATATTTAAAAAAATTCTTAGTGTTTATCTGTGTCTTCTTTCTTTTTTGATCAGAGTTGACAAAGGTTTATTTAGTCATTGCAAATAATCAGCTTTTATCTTGTTTATTCTCTTTATTAAATTTTTATCCCTATTAACTCCTATTGTGTCATGTCCTTCTTTCAGCTGTCTTTGGGTTATTCTGTTGTTTGCTGACTTGACTTAGATAATTTAGATCAGTCTGTTATTTTTTAATGTAATCAGATTAGAGCTCTAATTTTCCCTCTTGAGTATCACAGTTATATTTTATAATTTTTAACACATGGTATTAGTGATCATTTATTATAAATGTTCTTTAATTTCAGTGACCTGTGAGATATTTAGAAGTATTTGTAGCCTCTATCAGTGGGTAGAGGGTTGGCCTGTGGACTGAAGGGTCCCGGGTTTGATTCTGATCAAGGGCACGTACCTTGGTTGCTGGCTCCTTCCCGGCCTGGGCCCTAATCTGGGCATGTGCAGGAGGCAACCAGTCGATGTGTTTCTCTCACATTGATATTTTTCTCCATCTTTTCCTTTCTCTTCCACTCTCTCTAAAAATCAATGGAAAAATATCCTCAGGTGAGGATTTAAAAAAAAGTATTTGTAAATACAAGGATGAATGCAAAGATGCAGTTTCAGAGTTTTTACTGAATAAGCTTTTTATATGTAACTTACTGAAATTATTACATATCTATGAGTAGACAGTTGTTTTAATAATTTAACTAATAAATTTAAAAATTTTGTTGTCAGTGTGTCAAGTTGGTGTCATTTTTGCCTACAGTGGAAAAGAATGAAAATGTCACTAAAATAAAAATTCTCTTGTTTTTTGAGGCTTATGTTTAAAATAAATTTTAAGTATTTATTTATTTCTGAATTAAGTCAAGCATGATTAGACAACATGCTATGTATGATTATTCTCTGGCATTTTGGGAGACTTATTTTTAGTCTCCATATGATTGGTGTGCCTATATGGGTATGTATGTGTGAATGTTCTGTATGTGCTGGGAAATAAAAAGCATTAATTGTGTGGCTTAGATATTTTATATGCTTTTATAAAATTCAGTGGCCTTCAACATTTTGTCCATGCACTAGTACATCCTAAAATATCTTTGAAAAAAAATTATATACTCCTGCATTTTAAGTTGACAATTAAAAATTTTTCTAAATTTAAATAGGGCAGAGAATTTAATTACTAGTGTATTGTGTAAAATTTGATATATAAAAATAAAGCTATTTCACTGTTCTCTTAAAAGTATCCAGTGACTTCTAAATATTAATTACTTGATGTGATGTCCTTATTATCAATTTTAACACACCGATTTAAATCAGTTTATCTATAGAGACATCAAAAAATTGAATAATTAAAAAAAATTGTTTGGAAAAGTCCCAGCAGTCATGTTTTAAAATATAGGGCAAAATGATATTTAATTAAAAATTCAGTTATAGTTCGTGTTGAACCAAAAAATTTCAACTGCTACTGCATTTTGTGCTGATTTTGAATTGTTACTTTAGACCCACTATAAATTATAGATATTATATAAATGTACTTTTAACTATCTGTACTCATTTCTTTTTCTGCTTCTTTCTTAGGAATCACACCTGTGTATCATAGTATGTTTGCTTTAATGAGTGAAACAGAAAGGATCTGGTATCCGCCCAACTATGTCTTCCATATAGATGAGTCAACCAGGCACAATGTACTCTACAGAATAAGGTACTTTCTTCAGTAAAGTGATTCACCTTAATGGCAAAAGAACAAAGTGGGAGAAATTATTGAACATTTTTAAAATTGTAAGGTATCTAATACCAGAGACTACAGCTAATGAGCATTTAATTTTCTTCTTGTATGACTATTTCTCTTTAGAGGAATAGCCCATACATGTTTTTTAACTAGAATGCTCTGAAAATAAAGCTGTTCTGGTGAAATGCTACTTTACCACTTATAATTACATTTTTAAAAGGTGAGCATGACTTTACTAGCAAAATCCTAAATGTCTGGAATATTTCTAGTTTCCTAGGAAATTAGATGTTTTGTACAATAAAATGTTATCTCACATCTCTTCTTTTTAATAACTTTTTTTAAAGTGAAGAGAATATTTTGCCAGTATTTATTACAGTCGCAAACAATAAAGTTAATCCTATATAATAAAAGGCTAATATGTAAATCGACCGAACAGCGGAATGACGAGTCGCTATGACGCACACTGACCACCATGGGGCAGACGCTCAGTGCAGGAGCTGCCCCCTGGTGGTCAGTGTGCTCCCCCAGGGGGAGCGCCACTTAGCCAGAGCCAGGCTCACAGCTAACTAGTGCAGCAGCAGTGGCAGGAACCTTTCCTGCCTCCGCGGCAGAGCTAAGGATATCCAACTGCTGACTTAGCGCAGGGAGCAGGCCTAAGCAGTCTAGTTTATTTAATAATTTATGGTAAAATTAGTGAAATCCAGAGGTACTTTTCTACTCAAAAGCTTGAAACAAAGAAGTTTGACCCTGGCAGGTGTGGCTCAGTTGGTTGGGCCTTGTCCCATGCACAGAAAAGTTGCTGGTTAGATTCCCCAGTCAGAGCACATGCCTATGTTGCAGGTTTGATCCCTGGTAAGGGGCATGCAAGGAGGTAGCCCATTGATGTTTTGCTCTCACATTGATGTTTTTCTCCCTCTTCATCCTCTCTCTCTGAAAATTAATAAAAAATCTTAAAAAGTTAAGCTTGATCTGTGGCTCGTACTTATGAAATAGATCCATTCAATGCATAGAGTCAATGTTGCAGTAAAAAAGAGCATGGACTTTTTGATAACTTTAAAAAGAAAGGTGAAGGAATCCTTAATTAACTAAGACTCGAGAGAGACGTCCTTACCATGATAAAGGCTATCTATAAAAAACATGTATCAAATAATATTCTTAAATGATAAAATGTTTGTTAGAAGCAGTCTCTTTAAAATTAGGTAAAAGATAGCCTTAGTTACTGCTTTTGTTTAGGATTTTAATGGAGTTCCTAACTAATAAGACAGGAAAAACAGTTTAATAATTGAGAACAAAGAAGCAAAAAGTCATTATTTGGAGGTGATATTATAAGCATATTTCTACATTTCTGTTTCCTATTATTACTTCTACAGTCTATGCTTGGAAGAAGGCAGTATATTGATTTTACACTTAGATTTCTTGTATTTTCTACCTATATTTTAATTATGGTTTTATCCAGATTTCCTTTTGCTGTCAACTTGTATTTAACACTATTAGCTGTGTTTTCTGATTATGGGATAATACCTTTCGTTATGCTGGAAGTGGTTATATGTACACAGTATGTTTATATTTGATTTATTTGGAGGCTGACAGAGTGTTTTAACTGTCTTGTAGATTTTACTTTCCTTACTGGTATTGTAGCGGCAGCAACAGAACTTATCGGCATGGAATATCTCGAGGTGCTGAAGCTCCTCTTCTTGATGACTTTGTTATGTCTTACCTTTTTGCTCAGGTATGATATATTATCTACTTTTCATAGATAATATGATAAAATCTTCATATATGAGAAATTGTTCCATCTTGCATAGCAGGTATAGCTAGGTAACAAAATTAAGTCTTTTACTAATTTTTAATCCTATGGTTTATGGTTTATGGACAATAGAATTTATTTCATAGAGATTCCTTGAATTGGCCATTTTGAACATCCTTCTTCTTTTTTTAGTGCTTTAAGTTATTTAAGGATTTTACAAAGTTTAGACTGAGTTTTATAACATGATTCATGTAAACATAAGTGGCTGGAACATAGGACAATAAAATATCTTTAGAGAAGTTTGTTTTTTAATTCCTGAACAAATTCAGACTTAAATAGTGGGGAGTGAAATGTAAAGAAACTTGGTAACTGCATAAAAAGTTGAGCTATAATAGCTTCTGTAGCTTCTCAGGGGAGGTTGGCTGGCTGATACTGAGTCTGAGAGCTTTGTTCTAGTTATTTGTTTATTAATACTATTATGTTAATTTTTTGGAGTGTATTTGAACAATGCTTTTTTTCTCTATTACCGTGATTTAAACAGTAATTAAAATGTTTTATCATTAAATAACTTTTGTTTTTATGTGCTAGAAGACTGAGTAGAAACTAAAGAAAGAAAATATATTTGTACTTTTGGGTAAAGATATATTCTTGTTATTTGCCATTAAACAATAAGTTTCCATACCCCTCTCCTCTGGCCCCTGACAGCCACCTGTATACTTTATGTCTCTATGAATTTGCCTATTCGAGGTACCTCATATAATTACAGTTATATAATATTAGCTCTTTTGTGACTGGCTTATTTCTCTTAGCATAATATCTTCAAGGTTCATTCATGTTGTAGCGTGTGTCAGAATTTCCTTCCTTTTTAACCAGTTAACTGCCACACGTCCAAAATAGAAACCATCCCCACATGCCACGATATTTTGAATTTAATTGCATCTATAGATGCTTATGGTGTACAAAGGTTAAGGCTGACTATTCCATTGTACATAGTATCACATTTTGTTTATCCATGCATCTGTTGATTTGAGTTGCTTCCACCTTTTGGCTCTTGTGAATAGTGCTGCAGTGAACATGGACATACAAATATCTGAGACCCTGCTTTTAATTTTTTTGAATATACTAGTATATCCAGAAGTGGAATTAATTAAATGAAATGGTAATTGGTTTTTTAAAAAATTTTTTTGAGGAACTGCTATACTGGTTTACATAGCAGCTGCATCATTTTATATTCCTAGTATCAGTGCACAAAGCATTTCAGTTTCTCCACATCCTTGCCAACACTTACCTTCTGTTTTTTTAATAATAGTTATTCTGGTAGGTGTGAAGTGGTATCTCATAGTTTTGATTTGCATTTCCCTAATGATTAGTGATGTTGAATGTTTTTTCATAAGCTTGTTGGCCATTTGTATATCTTCTTTGGGGAAACTATTCAAATCCTTTGCCCATTTTAAAATCAGGTGGTTTTTTTGTTGCGTTATAAGTGTTCTTTATACATTTAAGACATTTACCCCTTAATAAATATATGTTGCAGAAATTTTCTCCCATTCCATAGGTTTACTTTTCACTCTGTTGATTGTGCCCTGTGGTGTGCAAAAGTTTTTAATTTTTATGTAGTCTAATTTATTTTTTCTTTGGTTATCTGTGCTTTTGGTGTCATATTTGAGAAGTCATTGCCTGATCCAATATCGTGCACTTTTCTTCTACATTTTTTTCTTCCTTTCTTTTCCTTCTTTCCTTCCTTTCTCTCTCTCTCTCTCTCTCTCTCTCTCTCTCTCTCTCTCTCTCTCTCATTAACATGTTATTGATTTTATTTGGGGTGCTTTCATGTTTCTAAGCTCAATTGGGACAAGCTAGGACCCAAGGAAAACTAGCTGGCTTCCACTTCCTCCAAGGGCACCAATAACTGACCTTGATACTGAAATTTGGCTCAGGAGACTTAGAGGATAGAAATTTCAGGCCATGATGAACGGTAGAGGGATTTTTTCATATAGAAAGAGAGAGAGAAACATCAATTTGTTCCACTTATTTATGCATTCATTGGTTGCTTCTTGTATGTGCCCTAATGGGATCAAACCTGAAACGTTGGCTTATTGGGACGGCGCTCTAACCAACTGAGCTATCCGGCCAGGGCCCTTAGTATAATGCTTTGAACATATTTGGGACTCAGTACATATTTAATTAATATGTATTTTAGTTTAGGCAGTTTTGATGTAGAAGATATAATTTGAAGATAAAAGCAGTGAAATAGATTGATATATATACTCTCTAGTTGGGAACCAATTTTAATCAGTTTCCATTTGCAAAATAACTTATTAAAATTTTATGGCAAAATGGTTGAAAATCAAAAGAGGGTGTATTCTTTTTAAATATATGTGTTCTGGAAATTACATTATCAGTTAAAATATGATAATAGATTAAAATGTAATATTGAAACTTATGAAATATTTCCGTCTAAATATTTTTTCCTTTAGTGGCGGCATGATTTTTTGCATGGATGGATAAAAGTACCTGTGACTCATGAAACACAGGAAGAATGTCTTGGGATGGCAGTGTTAGATATGATGAGAATAGCCAAAGAAAATGATCAAACCCCACTCGACGTCTATAGCTCTATCAGGTAATTTCCTTATGTAAATCCATATACATAAATGGAACTGTTGGACTTTTTATATGATTTATTTGTATTTAATGAACTTCCCCATACTTTTTTATTTTATGATTAAAAGTTGTATAAGTAAGTTTTCCTTCTGTGCACAACACACACTTTCTTCCAGTTTTATTGAATATTGACAATAAACACTATAAGTTTAAGGTCAAGGGGGGGAAAAAGGAGACATATGTAGTACTCTTTGTAATATTTTAAGCAATAAAACAAAATTTAAAAAAAGTTTAAGATATACAGCATAATGACTTGACTTACATATATCATGAAATGATTACTATGAATTCAATTATAACATCAATCATTTCATATAGATGGAAAAACGAAAAAGAAAAAATATTTTTTCCGTTGTGATGAGAACTCTTAGGATCTACTGTCTTAACAACATTCATGTATACCATACAGCAGCATAAACTGTAGTCATCATATTGTACATTGTATCTGAGTAGTACTTATTTATCAAAGAAACTATTAAAAGAGTTGGTATACTATAGAAAATATAGGTGTTCGATACTTATTTATTATTTGATTTATTTATTCTAAAAAGGCTAGGTACGGTCAGAGGACTGAAAAGAGCACCTCGAGTCATAATTTCTACCAGCAGATCCTCACATTTTCTGTATAAATAATTCAGAGTCAGAATGTCTCGAATAGTGTCCATATTTTACTTGAATTACTATCACCTGCAGTTCCTGCTAAAATGGAAGATTCTTGGGCTCTAACCCAACAATTTGGATTTAGTAAATCTGAGGTGAAGTCTACAAATATGAATTTTTATAAGTGCTCCAGGAGATTGAAAAAAATAAATTTTATTGAAGTATAATTGACATATAAAATTGTAAGATATAGTTCATGTAAAAACATTCAAACCTGTAAAGAATTTTTTCTAAGTGTATTTGAGCCAAACTGTTGACAATTGCCGGGAAGCAGTATCTCAATGGATTGGGATAATGCTCCAGAGAATGGCGGTTTTTTCATCTATTTTTATACATTGCAGTCAAAAAGAGGGGATGCAGGTGGGTTACATGATAGATTAGAGATGTGGGAGAAAGCAAAGTGGGGGTGGAGGGGTGGGGCGGAACCTTTGGGATTGGATAAAAAGTAAAATGATAGACACTTATCTGTCCTCGTGCCCAGGTACATTGGTTGTGCCCAAGGGGTCCGGAAAAAGAGAAGTTACAAGTTACCTAGACATTTCAAGGATATGTTATCATAGTTGCAAAAAGACAGATAGGGTCAGTTAAGGTAAAGATTGACTTTGTCAGTGAAGATACCGGCCTAGGACATAACTACCCAGCATAACTGCTTTTAGTTAAAGTTTAATTTCAGGCCATCCTTTGTGGTTACTTTTCCCTGAGTTTTGTTAGGTTAGCATGTGGCCCCTTTCATCCACAATATTTAAAGTGTACATCATCATGATTTGATATACATTGTGAAAGGATCCCCTATGAAGTTTATTAATACATCCACCACCTCACATATTTATCTTTTTTGAGTTTTGGGGGTTTTTGGGGGGGGTGGCAGGGAGAAACTTTTTAAGTTCTATTCTCTTCAGCAAATTTTACCTATACATATATAATGTTGTTAATTATAGTCACTGTGTTGTACATTAGATCCTCAGACCTTATTCATCTTATAACTGATTCAGCAGAATCTTACACAAGTGAAGCATACTCCACACACTTCAAATTATTCTTCTGCACATTGAATTTTGACAATCATGCCAAATTTAATTTTTTAAAATTTCTTTTTTAAATAATTCTTTATTGTTGAAAGTATTACCAAATACAGTTTTTGAAACACTACTCTTGCAGCCCAGCTTTTATGGCTGGAAAACTTCCACTCTTTTTAAAGATATATAGGAATATGGGTATATAGTATATAAGATTGCTTTGGTTTTTTTTTTAAGTCTGAATACGAAATAATATGTCTTACCTATTGCATATTTACCAGAGTAAAAGTTTGAAGATGCCATGAATCTGGTTAAAACTCCCTTTATTTCTTGAAATGCTTCTCTCAATGATGGACTTAAGTCACTGAGTGCGTTCAAAACAGTTCATATGCAATTTGCAGGGTATCGATTTCTTGTTTCCCTCTTTGGTTTTAAGTGTTCCTTTCTTGCTTTCTGATGTTCATTAAGCTTTAACTTAAGGGTAGGAGCTATAGGGTATGATTTCAGGAACTCCCTGAGGAATCTAGAAGATTTCAAAGCCCAAAGGAAAAACAAAACCATTTCTGTTTTCACTAAGGCTTCATTCATTTGTTCGATTTATTGAATACCTGCTATATGCCAGCCCATAGGAGAACAGAGTCAGGGGAGGAATATTTTACATACCATTGATGGAAACTGAAGGAACTGAAGGGAACACAGTTGAGGAACAGAGAAACTTTGAATTTTATAAATATGAAGCCATCTCTAGGCTTATGCTATGGTGGAACACTTCTGCTTTGGAGACCATGATATTGCCCAAAGTCTTGGCACAATCCTGTGGTTTCTTAATGTCAGGAATTATGCCCTCTCTTCCTCTCCCTATATTATTTAGTCTAGTGTCCTAAACTCAGTGAATGTTTAGTAATTGTATTTCTGTGGTTTTTCTTAATCAGGATATAAATGCATCTGCAAATTCTGCATTATTTTTCTTTTGAAATTATACAGATATCAAACATTCATTATAAAATTCCATGGTATTTTAAAACAGTTTTATTGATATATATTTCACATACTGTAAAATTCACACACTTAAAATGTACAATTCAATATTTTTTATTATTGATTTGTAAGGAGTCTATATTTGGATACAAGACTACATATATAAGTTATCATATATATGTTTTGCAAATATTTTCCCATTCTGTATATATTTTTTTTACTTTCTTAAAAGTATCATTTGTAGCACAAGAATTTAAATTTTGAAGTAGTCTAATTTTCCAGCTTTTTCTTTTGTCTGTTGTACCATGATATTTTAATATTCAATAAATAATTTATGCCTGTCCTGAAGTTAAAAACATACCTGTCTTGCTTGCCTTGTTAATATAATTTAACTCACTGATGGTTTCTGAATTCTCATTTAGTGCTCATTTCTGAGAAATAAAGACTCGGCTCAATGTTAAAATATTCAAGATTAATGGGAAAACAGATGAATTATTAGTTTGGGGCAGAATCTATAATAACAAAAGGGTAATATGCTAATTAGACCGGACATCCTTCTGGACATCCTTACTTCCAGACAAAGCCGCAGTGGGCAGGGGCAAGGCAGAAGTGGCAGAGGGCCCCGGCCGCGGTGGTGGCGGGCAGGGGCCAGGCCAAGGCTCTTGCACGAATTTCGTGTATCGGGCCTCTAGTTAAATAAATAAGCTGCTTTGTTCCCAGAAATATCCAGTAGAGTATGGAGCTCTGATTAGTATAAATACATACCCTTTCCCAGACTTATAAAGAAAATACATGAAAGATGCACCTCTTTGTATCTGTGCCTGTGCGTTAGGTATGTCTGTGTCTGTCAGCACAAGCCTCTGTGTGCATATAAACCGCATGTGTTTGTGCATCTGCATGTGTTAGATACTTAATTGTTTGTTATTGTTAATCCTCACCCAAGGATATTTTTTCCATTGATTTTCAGAGAGAGTGGAAGGAAGGGGGTAGGGAGAGGAAGAGAGAGAGAGAGAGAACACATTGATTGGTTCCCTCCCGCACATGCCCTGACCTGGCTGGGAATCAAACCTGCAACCCAGGTATGTGCCCTTGACGGGGAAACAAACCCTCTACCCTTTGGTGAACAGGCCAACGCTCTAACCACTAAGCACACTGGCCAGGGTGATACTTAATATTTATTTTTTTATTGTTTTCAGAGAGAAAGGGAGAGGGAGAGATAGAAATATCAATGATGAGGGAGAATCATTGATTGGCTGCCTCCCACATGTCCCCTATTGGGGATTGAGCCTGCAACCTGGGCATGTGCCCTGACCTGGAATCAAACTGACTTCCTGGTTCGATGCTCAACCACTGAGCCACACCGGCTGGGCAATACTTAATTTTTTGTATGTCAATCCCTAATTGGCTATTTTGGCTTAGGTGTTGGAGTATAGAAAATGTAGGAAATAAGATTTTTCTGTTTTCATTCTTCACTTGCTCTTTAAAATCTTACATTTGCTAAAGGGTAGGAAGAAGAGAACTGGAGAATGGAAGGAGTTTAAAGGAGAGTCTGTTGAATTTGCAAACACTAGGCCAGGGCCAAGAACACTTACATAGCAAGAAGCCACATACCTCATATCATTAGGACTCCCTTTCTAAATAACTAAGCAGATACTAGAATTTCCAGTGGCCTACTTCAACTTTAACAGTAAGATGAAGATTTCATTTATAGTACAAAATATAGTATAGTTTCTAAGGCAAAGCTCAATTTCAGAGCCTTTTAGAGCCTTAATTTTAGGATTCTTTAAAAAACTCAATATAAGAGAAGCATCAGAAAAATGTTTTTATGCTCTAAGAGATAACAACTTGTCTCTTGAAATATTTTAGTGTTTCTAACAAATCTGGTTCTGATAGCATGACGTGAAGTGTATTCATCATATTCAGGAACCACATACTCCTGTGGTATTCCCAAAAGGTGTATGTCTGGTCCTTAATTGTAGGAATCAAAGTGGAAAGCCATGTTGTATGATGTTATCTTAAACTCTCTTTTTCATCTTCAGATTAGTTTTTCAAAGCCTTAATAAATCAAGTAGTCATTGATGTCTACGTAAATTGCATTCCACATTTAGTAAGGCTTTTGGTAACTAATTTTTTTTTGGACAAAAGAAGATAAAGTAGGCATTTGAATTTGCATTCTGATTGTATTTTAAATCTTTTTTCAGTGTTTTCTAAACTTACTGAGGCTCTCCTATTTGCTGTATAAACTTTTTAAAATTTTATATATTTCTTTACTTACAGATATGTAATTGCTATGAAAAGGAACAGAATGTGACTTTTAAGGTCTGACAAATGAGTAGAACTTAATGGGTGGAAAGAAGTGAGTAATGGAAAAGGCCTTGTAGCAGAAGAGACCATAGGAAGAGCTCAGAGTTAGTAAGAGATGAGGCAGGAGTTTAACCATGTAGAACCTTAGAGTCATGTGGTCAAGGTTAAGAACACTAAGAAACCATGCAAGGGTATTAAGCAATGGTGACATTATTCAATTTGTGTTTTTAAAAGATCCCCATGACTCCAGTGTAGAAAACAGAGGGGCATAAGTGTAAATGGAAATGAGAGTCAAACAGAGTAAGGTCATTGCTGTAGGTCCTCCAGGAGATGCAGTTGAATGGGTTAGTAATGAGAAAAATGGGCAAATAAGAGAAATATGTCAAAGGTATAGCCCAGGGACTATAGTGATGGATTGAATAATGGGGGTTGAGGGAGAAGGTGGTGTAAAGGGTGATTCCTGGGACTTGTAGAAGTAGGTGAATTGTAGTGCTGTTTACTCAAATAGAGAATGTTGTAAGAGGATCTTGGGAGGACTTTAGGGAGACTCATGAGTTTCCTTTGAAACATTGTCTGAGGAGCTTTGGGGCTATCCAAATTAAATGGGTAGATTGGCTTGATTGTGGAAGATAAGGGTCTGTCGTTTAGATATTTAGATGGCAATATCAAGTGATTTGCATATAGAGTATCTAGAAGAAAGACAATGTGTAAAAAATAAGAGGAGGACCCATAATTAAGTCTTGAGTAACGTCAACATTTAATCACTAGGTAGAAGGGAATGTTGCTTTAAAGAAGATTGAAAAGGAACAGCCAAAGAGATGATAATAAAATCAGGAAAGCTAAGGGGAGAAAATTTCAAGGAGAGCATGATTAACAGTGTTGGATGCTGCTGAAAAAATTACAAGACAAATAAACAAGAGAATTTGAGTTTTTAGCAACATTGAAGTTTTTTTAAAAATATATATTTTATTGATTTTTTACAGAGAGGAAGGGAGAGGGATAGAGAGTTAGAAACATCGATGACAGAGAACCATCGATCAGCTGCCTCCTACACACTCCCTACTGGGTATGTGCCCGCAACCAAGGTACATGCCCTTGACTGGAATTGAACCTGGGACCCTTGAGTCCGCAGGCCAATGCTCTATCCACCGAGCAAAACCGGTTAGGGCAACATTGAAGTTTTTTATTTTAGTAAGAGCAGTTTCTGTGGGATTATGGAGCAGAAGCCAAATTTGAGTGAGTTGAGAAGTAGGATGGCAGGAAAATTAAAATGGTTTTAAATGCTTTCCAAAAAAGACCATATATGCTGTAGCTGGAGAGGATGTAGGGTAAAGAGATTTTACATTTAGGATGGGAAGAAGATTAGTATTTTCAAAACATGTGGATAGAAGAGAAAGAATAAATAGAGTAAGAGTCCCCAGAAAGCAGATGTCTGTTAGAGGAAGGCAGGGTATAGAGAATACATGTGAACGAAGTGGCTTTAACTACAGGTTTACACCTACCTCATTCATGTAGTAGGTGAAAAGGAGGAGAGACCAAGTGCAATGTATACAGGCTGCCAGCAGGGTATTGAGGGAACTCTGCTTAGAGATGCTTTAACTTTTTTTTTTTTTTTTAAGAAAGAGATGAACTCATCAACTGAAAGTGAGAAGGGATGTAGCTGAGGTTTGAGGGAGGAGGTTTGAAGAAATTGGAGAAGGTTTGGCATGGTTGTGGGACTTGGGAAATTGGTTGAGCCAGAGAAATGTCATAAAAGTGATGGAAGTGATGAAAGCCTATTTAAAACTAGAGGCCCGGTGTATGAAAATTCATGCACTGGAGCGGGGGGGGGGTGGGGGAGGGGGTGTCCCTCAGCCCGGCCTGTCCCCTCTCACATTCCAGGAGCCCTCAGGGGCGGGAGGCGACCTGGTGATCAGGGGAAGGTGATGCCCCATCACACCTCTGCTGCTGCCACTGCCGGCAGCGCAAGCCTCGGCCGGCTCTGGTTACCTGAGCCTCGGGCAGCCCTGGGCAGCTGGGCAGCCGCCATCTGAGGCTTGCCTGCACCTCAGGCATCAGCTGGGCAGCCACCATCCGAGGCTTGCCTGCACCTCGGGCTGGCCCTGGGTGGCTGGGGGGCTGAGGGGACTGGGCGCTGCCATCTTGTGACTGTGGGCGCTGCCATCTTTGAGGGCGTGATAGTCAGTTAGCATATTCCCTCTTTATTGGCTGTGGGCACTGCCATCTTTGTGAGGGTGTGACTCAATTAGCATATTCCCTCTTTATTAGATAGGATAGGTGACTATGAATTTACGATGCAGCACATGTACCCTGTCAGATAACTTTCTCCAGCAGCGCTGGCTGTTTACAAAACAGAGAGTTCCTCCAGGGACTTACAGTGGAGAGTGTGTGAGTTGGGAGGGGGGGTGAGGGGAGTAGGGAGTAGGAAGTGGTAAATTGGTAAATGTTTAACAACCTGTTCTCGGAGAGGTGACAGGGAAGGTCTGGTTTGTAATTTTTGCTGATATCCATGGATACTCCCTTCACAGCCAATCTCAAGGTATCAACTTGATACCACTGAATTGGGAAGAGATGAGCAGTAGCAAACCCTTTTCACCACTCATATATGATAGACATTCATAACCTCAAAAGCATAGATAGTACTAAAATATAAAATAAAAATTTAAATGTAAAATAATTAGGAAGTAATATGTTTTGAGTACTTATTATCTATATTTTAATATAATTTATTCAGTTGTAAGTTTTTATAACTTAAATTTTAATGATAGCTGTTTAACAGCTCAAAATAATTCCTAAAGTGTAATAATAAGCTGTTAGCATTAGCCACTCCATCACCGGCTGTGGATACTCAAGTACAGTATAGTGTGATAAATGATGTTATGGAGCAGTGCACAGAATACTGTCAGACAAATCAGGCTGCATCTAGAGGTTCTAAAGGTTTCCTGGATTAGATGATGCTTGAGCTGAGACTTGTACAATGAGTAAGAGCTAAACTTTTAGAGGCTGGGTGATGGGAAGAAGGAGTAGCATATGTGAAAGGCATGGAAATTTAATATAGTTGTTTTTGCAGAAATAAAATGTTAATTATTTGTCAGATATTTGAGCAGGAGGGAAATAAGTTATCCACGTTCTTTAGGATATTTTACATAGAGAAGGAAGTAGTACAAAAGACTCCAAATGAAATTGTTTGATTGCAAAAGAATTATTAGGATTTATTGAAGCTGGCCTATAAAACTGTTTATCCAACTATACATTATTGACTATATTCTGTGCAGTGAGAAAACTTGAAGTCATTTTCAAGGTCCACCATTTCTTACTTCTTTTCAGTGGTAACTATGTCACCTTTCTCCACTTGTGTTCTTATAGCACTTACCATGGAAAAAGGTGGTAAGTTCTCTTTTACTTTTGTTTTAGATTTATATTCCAAATGTTTTGTTTCACTGTGTGTGTTCTTTATGCCTAGCTATAAGACATTCTTACCAAAATGTATTCGAGCAAAGATCCAAGACTATCATATTTTGACAAGAAAGCGAATAAGGTACCGATTTCGCAGATTTATTGAGCAATTCAGCCATTGCAAAGCCACTGCCAGAAACTTGAAACTTAAGTATCTTATAAATCTGGAAACTCTTCAGTCTGCCTTCTACACAGAGCAATTTGAAGTAAAAGAACCTGGAAGAGGTCCTTCAGGTGAGGAGATTTTTGCAACCATTATAATAACTGGAAACGGTGGAATTCAGTGGTCAAGAGGGAAACATAAAGAAAGTGAAACACTGACAGAACAGGTAATTCTTAATGATATGTTCTCATTCTTTGTTAATTTAAGTAGAATGGCAGTAGAAGTAAAGTAATTTTAGTCATTTGAAACATGGCCTTGTACTTTTCTTCTCCCATTGATAGAAGTGTAAGTGTAGTGGTTATATCTATAGATCTTTTCTGATTGTTCTCAAATGTTTTTTATTTAATTCTTTATGACAAAATTAGTAATGGTATTCTTATAGTTTCAGAAATGGCATAAAGTTATTTTTAAGTAGTTTTGCCTCTTTATTTCTTTTACTATTTTAAAAAAATATTTTTTCTTTTACTATTATTGATATAGGAGGCATAATCATAAAATTTAATATCCTAGAAAAGGTTAATTTTAATTAATTTTATGATGAAGTACGGCTGTTAAATAATTTAGTATGTCTTAGGATTGTATTATAAGTTTAAGTTTGTTCTTATCTGTTGTTGTTAGATTATTATTAGAGATTTTAAAATATTCTAGTCTTCATTCTGTGGTAAACTTTTAATTTTCTGGCAATTGTTGCTATTACTGTTGATTGGATTGAAGAGTACTAGAGCTCACTTAAGATTCCTGGCACCCTTTAATGCTCTCATTTTTTTTTTTAAATATATTTTATTGATTTTTTACAGAGAGGAAGGGAGAGAGATAGAGAGTTAGAAACATCGATGGGAGAGAAACATCGATCAGCTGCCTCCTGCACATCTCCCACTGGGGATGTGCCCGCAACCCAGGTACATGCCCTTGACCAGAATCGAACCTGGGACCTTTCAGTCTGCAGGCCGACGCTCTATCCACTGAGCCAAACCGGTTTCGGCAATGCTCTCATTTTTAAGTCAAAGCAAGATACAGTGTAGTCTAGGGTGAATATTGGGGGAGAGAATCCCATTTAATACTTACCTATTGCTATCAATACTTTTTTATCTTAAAGAATTTGTTAGTGAATGTTATATCATAAGTCTTATTTTAAAATGGCGCCATAGATTCTGTTTTTAATTTCAAATACTCTTAATTATAGGATTTACAGTTATATTGTGACTTTCCCGATATTATTGATGTCAGTATTAAGCAGGCAAGCCAAGAAGGCTCAAATGAAAGCAGATTGTAACTATCCATAAACAGATGGTAAAAATCTGG